TGTTTGTACAAAATGAAATCTTCAGAGAACCAGACACAATAAGAATTCCAGAGAACAACATAGAGCGGATAGAGGTGTCTAGAGATGAAGTGGAAAATATGCTAAAGGAGCTCGGGAGGAACAAAGCAGCTGGCCCAGATGGCGTTTCACCATGGGTTCTGAGAGAATGTGCATCTGAGCTCAGCATTCCACTTCACCTGATCTTTCAGGCATCCCTGTGTACAGGAATCGTAGCAGACGTGTGGAAACAGGCTAACATAGTTCCAATCTACAAAAGTGGCAGCAGGGAAGACCCCCTCAATTATAGACCTGTATCATTGACAAGTGTAATAGTGAAAGTATTGGAAAAGCTAATCAAAACTAAATGGGTAGAACACCTGGAGAGAAATGATATAATATCAGACAGACAGTATGGTTTTCGATCAGGAAGATCCTGTGTATCGAATTTACTCAGTTTCTATGATCGGGCCACAGAGATATTACAGGAAAGAGATGGCTGGGTTGACTGCATCTATCTGGACCTAAAAAAGGCTTTCGACAGAGTTCCACATAAGAGGTTGTTCTGGAAACTGGAAAATATTGGAGGGGTGACAGGTAAGCTTCTATCATGGATGAAAAATTTTCTGACTGATAGAAAAATGAGGGCAGTAATCAGAGGCAATGTATCGGAATGGAGAAATGTCACAAGTGGAGTACCACAGGGTTCAGTTCTTGCACCAGTGATGTTTATTGTGTACATAAATGATCTACCAGTTGGTATACAGAATTATATGAACATGTTTGCTGATGATGCTAAGATAATAGGAAGGATAAGAAATTTAGATGATTGTCATGCCCTTCAAGAAGACCTGGACAAAATAAGTATATGGAGCACCACTTGGCAAATGGAATTTAATGTTAATAAATGTCATGTTATGGAATGTGGAATAGGAGAACATAGACCCCACACAACCTATATATTATGTGAGAAATCTTTAAAGAATTCTGATAAAGAAAGAGATCTAGGAGTGGTTCTAGATAGAAAACTATCACCTGAGGACCACATTAAGAATATTGTGCAAGGAGCCTATGCAATGCTTTCTAACTTCAGAATTGCATTTAAATACATGGATGGCGATATACTAAAGAAATTGTTCATGACTTTTGTTAGGCCAAAGCTAGAATATGCAGCTGTTGTGTGGTGCCCATATCTTAAGAAGCACATCAACAAACTGGAAAAGGTGCAAAGACATGCTACTAAGTGGCTCCCAGAACTGAAGGGCAAGAGCTACGAGGAGAGGTTAGAAGCATTAAATATGCCAAAACTAGAAGACAGAAGAAAAAGAGGTGATATGATCACTACGTACAAAATAGTAACAGGAATTGATAAAATCGACAGGGAAGACTTCCTGAGACCTGGAACTTCAAGAACAAGAGGCCATAGATTTAAACTAGCTAAACACAGATGCCGAAGAAATATAAGAAAATTCACCTTCGCAAATAGAGTGGTAGACGGTTGGAACAAGTTAAGTGAGAAGGTGGTGGAGGCCAAGACCGTCAGTAGTTTCAAAGCGTTATATGACAAAGAGTGCTGGGAAGACGGGACACCACGAGCGTAGCTCTCATCCTGTAACTACACTTAGGTAATTACACTTAGGTAATTACACACCAATATGGCTGGGAACCCAACAAAACTCAACCGACTTAAATTTACTGTGGACAAGAAACAGCCAACGCTGGATCTCGACAACTACTGGATGAACCGGATTAAAGGACCTGAGAGCCATGAGGGCACTACGCGAGTCAACAACATTGCAGCAACCAAAACCTTGGATGCAACGCCGAAGCCGCTTGCACCAGATTATCAATATCAGTGGACTGGATGAATTGGAGCACCAGCAAGGAACACCACTCGCAGGACTCCAGGTCAAAGGTGTCATCGACCCAACAGGCAGCATGACGGAGGCAAACCTGGTGAATGTCACCCTGAGACAAGGAGACAGAGCAACCTTGGAATTCACTCATGGAGAGATAAGACCCCTGAGGATGCATCCATTGGACCAATGAGCCCCAATGGGGGTTTCCAGGGTCCTTAACCCTTAACATGCTAGGGGTATAATATCCTTTGTTCCCCACAGGCGCATGTAATTTTGAAAAAAAAAAAAATTTTTTTCTTCCTAACCTGTTAATTTGTGTTCACTGATCATGGGAAAAATAATAAAAAAATCGTAAGTGGCATATATTGCCCGCTATAGGGCAGGGAAGTCTGGCAAAAAACAGGCGCTGACTCAGCGTGCGTCCCAGGCGGTCTGTTGATCGCCAGCTGTCAGGCCGGAGTTGCCACAAAGAGATAATTACCTAATTATTTCAATGTCTCTGATTGATTTTTCATAGTTTTTTTGCTGTAATATTATTCAATAGTGTGTAGTGTGATATATTTATATAATAAAATGAGTGAATCATCGCTGTACTCAAAAATATGGTGTGCATATTGTTGATTCAATTATGTTCATCAAACAGTGAACAAATACTTTGTCGGTTATTACACTATATACACAGGTTATATATAAGTATCTGCATGTTTTGTTCACCATAACGAACCACTAAGTTGCTATTATGAGTCAAAAAGTAACGAGGAGTGACCACCGTGTACCAGCCAGCCACTCACGCTCTCCCTCAAGTCACCTGACTCACCCACATTCTCCTCCCACAATACTGTTTTTGCTTTTATTCACTATATACAGACGCTATATATAAGTATCTACATTCGTGTTCACCATAACGAACCACTAAGTTGGTATGCTAAGTGGCAGTGGCAGCCCGCCACTGGCTGCCACTCCCTCCCTCCCTCACCTCACCTGACTTGCCACCATTCTCCACCCACCATACTGTTTTTGCTTTTATACAGATGTTATATATAAGTATTTACATATTTTGTTCACCATAACTGTACATCTAAGCTTGTATGGTGAGTAAAGGCACAAAGACGTAGGACCTCACACAGTCAGCTGATGGCTGCCGCCCTCAAGGCCAGACGCACTAATATTTCTCCTCCAACAATACTGTTTGTGTTGTTATTACGCTATATACACACATTATATATAAATATCTACCTGTTTTATTCACCATACTTGTACAAATAAACTGGTATGGTGCCCAAATACCATCGTGGTAACCAGTAAACAATATGATAAATTGTGCAGACGACGCCACCACCCTCACCAAAATGGCGGCTCCCAACCTACTCCTCTTGCTGTTTATACCCTCTATACACACGTTATATATAAGTATCTACATTTGTGTTCACCATAGCGAACCACTAAGCTGGTATGGTGAGTGCAGTCAATAAAAGGTGGCCACACACAGTCAGAAGACATCGCCACCTCCCTCCCTCCATGGCGCACAGCGCTAAATATCACCACAATCCTGCTATTATCAGAACCCTGGTCAGTTTTATCACAGTCAGGGGGCTTCTGTAATAATATCATCGCTACATAATAGCATGAACAAGTATATTATGGCATATTTAGGCGATGCTGTGGTCACAAGCTGAACAGCAGTGCTGTGAGCTCATGCTGCGTGCGTCAGGCTTGGTGGCTCACTCAATACTGAGGCCCCTAACACCCGGGAGTTTGGCCCACGATTTTTTTTAAAAATGGCGCCTGTTTACAAGAGCCCTGATGAAGGTGTGGTGAACCCCGTGTAGCCGCGGGCCGTTTAAATCTTGCGTAGTACTCCAACACGTCATATGACGTGATGCGCAATATATAGCAGGTTACTCAACAATTCATATGACATGTTGCGCAGTTTAAGGGTTAATACCGAGAGAACAATTAAACCTGAACCCCGGCAAAGTCTACAATCACAGGGGACCTAGCGGAGGACCACCAGAATATCAAGAGGATGGACAATGACCAAGGGGTAGACCCCCCCACCAGGCAACAAACAAAAAGAAAAAGAAAACCCCACAAAAGTACAATGTCCACAGGAGGAACAAAATCCTCTGTTGTGATAATAGGTGACAAGCTGTACAGTATCTTGCAGGATGAATATCACTTGCCCCTACCAGCGACGATACTACCTCCTACCCAAGGTCAAACAACGGCTCTGAAAACCCCAGCTGACCCCAAGGGCGGGCAATCACCGAGCAGCAAAAGGCCCCTATGGAGGTAGTCCCCCGAACGACTTGAGAAAGATACAGGGCACCTAGGGAAGATGGCCCTAGGTGCATGCAGCTCCAGTACTCCGCGAATTACTCCTGGTTCACACACTACAACACAGCAGAACACCGCCGCCAAGGAACAGCACTGCAAAGAGACAGGAGCCAGAATCGAATGAGCGCCACTCAACACATCAGCCTCAGAACTGGGGTTGGATGACCGGCGTAGGAGTCTTGGGCTCCCTCTTTCCCCCTCCCTGGGAGGGGGGGGGGGGGAGGGGGGGGAGCTGTGCAGGCAGCAGCGGTTGTGATGTCATGGTTGCATGCTTGTTTTTGAATTGGGAGTTTCGGTATTCGTAAAGCATGTGGCTGACTGTATTATATTAGGCCTCAGATAGCGTGTATTAGGCCTAGGATGGTTAGGTTAGTCCAAATTCCTTTCCCAATTTGTCCAAATTCACAAGTACAAATTCCACTTTCTAATTGTCCATTACATCAATATATGTATGATGGTCCACATTGTTACTATAAGTATATACTGAACTATGTAAACAGGAGGATGGGCTGACATATACACGTGTGTATATATATATATATACATATAATTCATATATACATATTGAGTACATATATACATATACACATGTATATATATATACATATACACGAGTGTGTATACAGTATATTCATTTATTTATGAATTTATTAAGCTATTAATTACTACTAGGAAATAGCTGACCATATTACAAATAGCAGAAGTGGATAACATTATACAATAAAGTACCGGGATTTCCTACATATGTATGACTCGTACTTTAAACAGAACTCTCCTGTTCTATACTAATATTTTGGCTCGTCTTACCTTAGTGGCTGTGGGTTACTGTTCATCTGCAAGGCAGACTGAGTGTGTAACACGTCCTCCCTGGCCGTACCGACAGTTATTCTTGGAACCACGGTAGTGGTAGTTGCGCTAATTAAATTTTGGTTTACTTCTGGACTAGCATCACTTTTGCCTGACAATAAAATACTTTGGTCTCTGTCCCTCGGAGAATCATCCTCAAGATGCCAGGCTTCTCCATTCCCGCTGTTCTGGTCATCAGTAAGATCCCGATAGAAAACTGCTTTGTTATTACGGTTTGTATCCGACAGAGCCGCAGCAGAACTTTCTTCATTCTTCATACTCTTGCTCGTGCTGCTGCCTCTGTTCACCGATGAGCCTGGTTTCTTTGGTTCTAAGTTCAGTTTCAAGACACCTGATGATGGAATACAAGTCGTCATACTTTCAACCAATTGAAAATTTTACATTTTGAATAGATTAAGCACCACACTCTACTACAAAATACATTCTGGGTAGCATAATAGATGCAGAATCACACTATTGTTTTGAGCATAGGTTATACATAGAGTGTATAACCTATGCTGAGCGAGTCTGAATGAGTGTCAGTGAATATAAAAAGGAGCTGCCTCGTATGGGTCAATAGGGTTGTCGATTTATATAACAAATTACTGGGTAACACAACAGATGTGGGATCATCTGATTGTTTCAAGTGTAGGTTAAACATATATATATTAAAGAGTTTGGGTGGATATAAAAAGGAACGGCCACATACGAGTCAATAGGCCTTCTGCAGTTTCCTTAATTTTTATGATCATGGTTGATCATAAATCATATTATGATCATATTATGATAACATGGGGGAAATAACTCCTAATGAATTCATAATGAGAAATTTTAAGTTACAAAAATTAAACACACCTTTGTAAACTGAGCCAACTAAAACCAGCACTATGTACCAACTCATACTATAAAAAGAAATTAATTAAGATAATTAATGCATAATGAAAGGATTGAAAATGTGTGATTGAGTGTTCATGAAACGATCCGTTTCATGCGGGTCACCCGGTCACTCATTTGAGCAATGTCCCGCTCCCCTGGGACAGTGTCAACTTCAATCTAGGACCAGAGCAACTTTTCATTTTCCTATGCAGCAGGATTATTTTCTAATTCCTGTTGTTGGGGATTGGAAGCCTGTTAGGCTTATCTAGGTCCCACTAAGCCCATTACTGACCTTCACAAGGATGCAACACATAACAGTTACCTAACTCCCTGTTACCTATTTACTACTAGGTGAACAGAGGCCTCGGGTGAAAGGAAACGTTCCAATCATTTCTCTCACCCTGGGATCGAACTCAGGATCCTTGATTGTGAGTCGAGAAAGTAGACTACTATTACTGCATTACAGACCATAAGAGGAAGAAGGGAGATACAAATTCTTAATCCAGCCCTGAATGACTGTCAGAAAGCACATTCCAGTACACTCAAAAACCTACTTTAACGAATTCTTATAATAAAGGAACCTCCCTCCCCCAACCAATAGCTCTGGTACTCCTAACTAGTCGCTCGCCTGGCTGCCGTCGCCGCCAACACGTCACTAAGTGGCAGCAATGGTTGTGTAAACAATGTGCCTTTTAAGTTGCCTCTCTTTCTTACCTTTCTTACCAAACACCCCGAAAAGGAATGGCACAGGAAGGCATGACATGAGAGTATGGCATCATCCAAGTAACAGCTCAGGAGAGTTTCACCTACACTCCATCTTACTGTATTTTGGAGGTCCTTAACATGGAATTAAATGACCTAATCTATATAAATAAAAATGGAAATGTTCGTTTGTTCAAAATCGCTAATCTCCGATAGTTCTTCACCGATTGCTTTGAAATTTTCACACAATGTTTCATTCACATCCAAGCGGGTTTTTATATACTGTACATACTACAGTTTATTGATGTCACGTCTGTGACAGAAAAAATATGCTTTTTTTTTTTTAAATTGTGTTTTTCATGTGAGATAAATCTTCGAAACCTCTTTACCGATTGCTTTCAAATTTTGACACGACGCTGCATTCGAATTGGCGTGTGTTTTTATATATCTACTATATACATGCCTCACCTATGACAGGAAAAAACTCGCTTTTTTCGAAAAACAGCGCCATCTGTTGGTCGTAAGAGCAACACATGCTGTAATCTCCCAAAGTTCTTCATCGATTGCTTTGAAATTCTAACACAACATTTCATTCGAATAAGCGCGTTTTTATATACCTACTACAATATATAGATGTAACACCTGTGACAGATAAAACCATGTTTTTTTCTAAAACAGCACCATCTGTTGCACATAATAGCAACACACACGCTATACAAAATATGTTACGAATTCCATTTCAATGTTTCCGATTGCATTGATAAATTTAATTTTCATAGATTTAGATTTATTTTCATTTTGATTTAATCATTTTGTGTAACAATATGCTAGATGCGGTTACATTTTTTAAAAATGAAGCCAGAGGACGTGGGAAATGCATCCTAGAGGCATCTCCTGTTGTAACCCTCACTGCTATAAATTGGGGGTTGGTCTCATACATTTTGTTGAATGAAGATTGTATTGTGATGCAGTCCACAAAGCTCTCCAGCTTCAACAGCATACAGAGAATCATTCAGACTTGAGGAAATATATGCATTTCAACCTATTGGTTATAGGGAAGTTGCAGTGCTTGAAAGACATACACCTGTCAAAACAGTCACATAGACAGGTAGCTGGTGGTACCACACAGAGGCAAACAGATTCCTCTAGGGCAGGCTGTACGTGGCAAATATCCAGCAAAAGAACGCTACAATACCGTATTTACACTGCAAATGGACAAAAACGGGGAAATGTCATTTACTATCACATTTAACAATTCACGTTAAATAACCCTAAGACATACAAGAGCCAAAAGTACAGCATTTGCCAAATTACCGTTAAAAACAAACGTAGCTCATGCAAATTTTAATTATTTGCTACAGAAGCCACAGAACTACAAATCAATTAAGTACCAAGCATACTCACAAAGGTTCATATTCACCATTTGAGTGTGATGCTCTGTGTTGACATTATTGTAGCTAATTATTTTCTGCAGAATGTCGGATGCACAAATGAAAAGTCGATTCTAACTAAAAAAAAATTACGTGCCTGCAAATTCACCTGGGAATACTTACCAAAGTGCCAAGAACTCAGGCAAAAGCATACCAAATTGGATCAAAAACAGGCAATTTATTTTCACGATATTACTTGAAATTAAGACCCATCACCTCATACACAATTAAACTGTGTATGAAATGTGATACTTAGGATAACAAACTGCATTAAGATAAATGTTCTAAGATGGTTAGGCAGACTTATGATTCATTTATAAAGGAGAAATACGATATTGAATTACAGAAGGTTTGAGTAATGAGCTGACATCCTACAACATAGAAATTAAAGGTGGATGATTGCATGTACAGTTGCATGAAAGATATTAGAACATAACAGGCTAGAAGATCACATCTAGATAGGGTTACAGAAAATAAATCACAGTAATATGACTGAAACAAATATCTCAATCCACACATATGAAAGTATCACCTTCATTTCATATATGTGGGCCCAAGTTATTAGAAAGTTTGCCTAGAAGCTTTCCTTGTTAAGGCCAACAACTTAAGAGAAGATTTCTCACGGCAACATGGCACCAGAGATATACGAGAGGAATATAAACCAAGGAGCTATGCTGCTCAAAAGCAACGTCCAATTATCTGTTTATGTATAAGGTTACGATGGAGGTTGTCACCAGAATAACTTACTATCACTTCTCATAAGTGACTTGAGGTTGGCAATGAGTTCCTTAGCCCGTGTTGCCAAGAATTCTGAGGTGAGTGCACGTCCTCTGTCATTGCTTGTTGAAGATACCGAGTTACTACGGCTGGTTCCAGCAGCCGTGGATGCCACGCAGTAAGTACTGAGAGCACGGCTCACTCTGCAAGAGATAATATTCCAATAAGTATCCATGATTTGATGAAGGTTCAAGATGGACAAAAACACTGTAGCTTTCATTTTATTTCATGTGTGAGCTGCATTATTTAGTTCAGCCTTGTGACTGTGACTTTTTCTCTACATATTCAAGTATTATGTATGGTTTGGAAATAAGCTTGATGGTTTATGGAACAGATTGCTGGGTTGCATAATAGATGTGGAATTACTGGATTGTTTCAAGTGGAGGTTAGATAAATATATTTGTCAAACAAATATATTTAGGTTAGACAAATATATTTGTCTAACTCTGCCCGAATATGATATATCTCTGCCTGAAACGCTATGGGTGCTAGTGGCTTTGCAAGAATGAAAAATACTACTATTGTGTAATCTCACCAACCCATTGTACCTTCTTGTGAATGAACAGCCAAATGAACCGAGACAAGCTGTCTGCCAAGACATTGGACACCCCCCCGAACGTGAACCGCCAGGAGAGCCAAACCCCGAGAACTCAGCAGACGAGTCACACAAAGCGACCAGCCCCAAAGAGCCAAGAACCACATCGAACCCCCTCGGTTCAGGCAATGAACCACCGGGGAACAGTCCGAATGGAGCCGGATCATCGATCTGCAAGCAATCCGAACCCTCCAGAGCGACATCCACACAGCCACGAATTCCCGCACCATGCTGTGAGCCCAACGGAAGAACGGACCTCCCCGTCCCAAGCCGGCCTGGTGAGCACTGGTCACAAAGCCCCATCCAAGAGACAACGCATCCGTGAACACATGGAGTGAGGACTCGGGTAGGCGCCAAGGCATTGAACCCCGAAAAACCCGAAGAGGAAGCTGGCGACGCAGCAACCAACACAAAGTCCCCGGAGGCCAAATCCAGCAGTCTCGAGAGAGGCAGAAGGGATGTCCCTGAAGGAACAAGAACAGCCGACGAAGCCACACCTGACCCGGCAGGTAGACCATCATGGCAAAGATCAGACTCCCGCACAAACCCTCGAGCAACTGCTCCATGATCTGGGAGCCCCTCAGGAACAGACGAAAGTGGGAACACAGGCGAAGCAGAGCCGCCGGAAGAAGAGACAAGGAAGTGGTCCGAGCATCCCATACAAGACCCAGCCAAGACCGAACCTGAGAGGGAACCGGATGGGATTTCCACCAGTCTACCAGGAATCCAAACCCAGCGAGCTGGGAAAGAACAAAATCCTTGGCGAGCAGACACATGGACTGGCTGTGAGCCTAAACCAACCAGTCATCGAAGGAGGCCAGAATCTGAACACCGAATAGAAGCAAGCGGGCCAACACAACCCAAATAAGGCGTGTGAAAACGCGAGGCACCAGATACAAAACCGAGCTAGTCCCAGAACTGAGGATGAATCGGGATGTGCCAAGATGCGTCCGCAAGGTCCAGGGACACCAACCAAGCATCCGGATCCACCTGAAGATGGACCTGGGACAGTGTAGCCATCCGAAGGAAGGGCAAAACCCCCTGGACCAGACGAGACAAGACCAGAATGAACCGGAGGTTTGTGCAGTCCCGTGTTGGGACCGGAACAGGCGAGAACCCACTGGGGGAATGAGGTCGTATCGACCACGCCCAAGCGAACCACTCCGACAAAAATCTGACAAAGCGCAGGAGAAGAGGCCCGCGAAAGAACCGATGCACCTAAGAGTACCCAAATGGTACTCAGGTTGATCCCCCCTGCTGGACAGAACAGAAGGCACTGGCTCACCATGACGGAAGAACCCTGAGCCCTGGCACGACCCTTCCGGGAATTTCGACCCATGAGCCCCCCCGGAGGATTAACAAGTCTGACATAGGATGGCAACGAGATGAAGCTGCCTGCAGAGACTGTACAACCACAGACTCTGCAAACAGCGACAGCCAAAAAGGTGAAGAAAACCGAAGAGCCAGGGCCAAAGTGGATTCCAGGGAAGGAGCAAACACCGTCTGCCAATAGAACGGATGCCAAGCCTCCAACGAGAAAAGAGGGCAGTCAGCAAACCAGGATGACCCCAGAACTTCATAACGAACACAGTAAGGACAAGAAGATCCATACACGAAGAACGCAGAACCACTACGAAAGCGTGGTAAGCCGCAAGGTCATCCCGCACCACATGGGACTGGACGCGGGAAGCCGAAACCCTCCGGAAGACGGAACCAAACCATGTTTAACATGGTTTGTTAAATGTTTAACAAACATTGTTTCATGTTTAACAAATTTGTTATCTTTTTATTCTAGCATAGTTGAGGCAGTTGATAGTGGTAAGGATTGTGATGTTGTGTACCTTGACTTTAGCAAAGCTTTTGATACAGTGCCACATGAAAGACTGATTAAAAAAAATAGAAGCTCATGGTATTGGGGGTGCTATATTAACTTGGATTAGGGCATGGCTATTCCAAAGGAAACAGAGAGTTAGTATAAATGGGGTTAAGTCAGAGTGGGATAATGTTGTTAGTGGAGTACCTCAGGGCTCTGTCCTGGGACCTCTGTTGTTTATAATATATATAAATGATTTAGATTCAGGTTTGAGTAGCAACATTTGCAAATTTGCAGATGATACGAAAATCGGTAGGGAAATTAATTCGGAGGAGGACTCACTATCACTTCAAGTTGATCTAGATAGGATTTTGAAATGGTCAAAAGATTGGCAAATGCAGTTTAATGCTGATAAATGTAAAGTTCTGAGGCTAGGTAATGATGATAGAGTTACAAGATACGAGCTAGATGGTGTTGAGAATGCGAAGTCGGATTGCGAAAGGGATCTGGGAGTTATGATTAGTAAGAATTTAAAACAAAAGGATCAATGCATAAATGTTCGTAATAAGGCAAATCGGACACTTGGATTTATTAATCGCAGCGTTAGTAACAAGACACCTGGTGTGGTTCTCAAGCTATATCTTGCTCTAGTTAGGCCCCATTTAGATTATGCAGTTCAGTTTTGGTCGCCATATTATAGAATGGATATAAATTCACTTGAACGTGTCCAGCGTAGGATGACTAAGTTAATTCCCCAAATTAGAAATCTTTCATATGAAGAAAGATTAACAAAGCTTAAATTGCATTCACTGGAAAGGCGAAGAGTTAGGGGTGACATGATAGAGGTTTACAAGTGGGTGAATGGACATAACAAAGGGGATATTAATAGGGTATTAAAAGTATCAACACAAGACAGAACACGAAACAATGGGTATAAATTGGATAAGTTTAGATTTAGGAAAGACTTGAGTAAATACTGGTTCAGTAACAGGGTTGTTGATTTGTGGAACCAATTGCCGCGTAACATTGTGGAGGTGGGGTCCCTCGATTGTTTCAAGCGCGGGTTGGACAAGTATATGAGTGGGATTGGGTGGTTATAAATAGGAGCTGCCTCGTATGGGCCAATAGGCCTTCTGCAGTTGCCTTTGTTCTTATGTTCTAAACCCGGGGAGGGGAGGAATGCCAAAACAAAGCGGAAGAGGAGGGAGAGAAGAGAAACCACTCCTTGCAACACCAAGCCCTGCTCGAAGGGTACAAAAACCCCAGCGATGTTCAATGGGGCCCAAGTTGGACGACCAAGGCAACTCCTTTCCCCCACCCTGAGAACCCCACTCCAAGGACCCGGAGCCGAGACGTCCCACCAAAGCCCCGGCCTCATAAGAAAAAGCCGGGGCAGCCAAAAAAACACTAAGGGAACCCACGGGTCACACCCATACGCATCAGCAGGAGGAACAGGCTTGAATGCTTCCGCTGCCACCCGGAAGGGGACACCCCCGAAACCACCCGAGTCTCAACAACATGAGATTTTGCCCCTCCTCCGAACCCGCTGATGGGTCGAAGCTGGAAGCAGGGGGAAGGGGCGGACGCACAACAGAAGGAAAAGGAAGAGTGGAAGATACCAAAGTCGAAGTGACTCTTACCCCCAAGTCCGAGTCCCTAAACCAAAACGGGGCAGTCTCGGGGCATCCGGGGAAGCAACCAATCCATTGTGTTGCAGCAACCAGAACCTAGCATGCAATGCAGCTGCTGCTTGCACCCTCAAATCATGATCAGTAGCAAGGGTGAACCGGAGCACTTACAAACAACAAACGTCACACAACTCTGGGTCAAAAAAATCACCAATCCTACAGGCAGCATGGCGGAGGCACAACTGGTGAATATCACCCTGAGACAAGGGGACAGAGCGACCATCAACTTGCATGAAGCGAGGGGAGACTCGATGGTCACATCCATTGGACCACAGAGCCCCCGCGGAGTTTCCCAGGGACCTTAGCCTTGGTAACGCGCTAAGAGAAGCCAAGGCAGGGTACTACAAATTGGCTCCCAATACTACCAGCCAAAGGCAGACCCCGCACCTGGCAGGAAAAACAAAAACCAAAGAAAAACCCCGAAGGAGACAACGTACCCAGGTGGAACAGAGTTGGCTGCTAAAATAGGTGATAATTAGCTGTGGAGTACCCTGCGACCCTACCAGTGATGAAAACTACCTCCTACCCAAAGGCAAACAAGGGCAATGAGACCCCCAGCTGACTCGAAGGGCGGCTAAATACCGAGCAGTAAAAGACACAGCGGAGGTATACCCCAAGGTGACTAGTGGAAGGTTGCCCCAAGCCCCAACCTGGTTGATACCTGGTTGATGGGGTTCTGGGAGTTCTTCTACTCCCCAAGCCCGGCCCGAGGCCAGGCTTGACTTGTGAGAGTTTGGTCCACTAGGCTGTTGTTTGGAGCGGCCCGCAGGGCCACATGTCCACTACAGCCCGGTTGGTCCGGCACTTCTTGGAGGAATAAATCGTTTCCTCTTGAAAATGTCCACGATTGTTCCGGCAATATTTCTTATGCTTGCTGGGAGGGTGTTGAACAACCGGGGACCTCTGATGTTTATACAGTGTTCTCTGATTGTGCCTATGGCACTTCTGCTCTTCACTGGTTCTATTCTGCATTTTCTTCCATATCGTTCACTCCAGTACGTTGTTATTTTACTGTGTAGATTTGGTACTTGGCCCTCCAGTATCTTC